GAAGCGGCGTACTTGACTTCCCACTTAGACTCTTCAGTGGGCCTCGATAAATTCATGGCTGTGAGCCAAGCAGAAGTGATCTCTGTGGTCACATCCTCAAAAGCCTCAACTTGCATGTTAAACGGAATCCCGACTTGGCTCTTCAAAGACATACTTCCTTTGATAATTGAGCCTATCGTAAATATAATAAACGCATTCATACAATGTGGCTATGTCCCACAAGCTTTTAAAACCGCGGTAATCAAACCCCTTCTGAAGAAAACAAACCTGGAGCCAGAAATACTTACAAACTATAGACCGATCTCGAACCTCACTTTCATATCTAAAATCCTGGAAAAACTTATAGCTGAGCAGCTTTGCTGCCACCTGCAGGAAAATAATATGTTTGAAGCCTTCAATCAGGATTCAGAGCTCATCATAGACTGAAACGGCACTAGTCAAAGTCACAAATGACTTACTACTAGCTGCTGATAATGGACAAGTGTCAGTGCTGGTCCTACTGGACCTTAGTGCTGCATTTGACACAATAGACCACAGCATTCTACTGCAGAGGCTAGAATGTAATATAGGTCTCAGAGGAACAGTCCTTGGCTGGTTTAAATCCTATTTATCTGATCGGTTTCACGTTGTCAACGTAAATCAGAACTCGTCGTCTTATTCTGGAGTGGAATTCGGTGTGCCGCAGGGTTCGGTACTCGGACCGATGCTTTTCACTCTCTACATGCTGCCGTTAGGAAACATTATTAAAAAGCATGGAATTAATTTCCACTGCTATGCAGATGACACACAGCTTTATCTGTCGATGAAGCCAAATCAGACGGATCAGCTGGAAAAACTTAGTGCCTGCATAAAGGACCTTAAAACGTGGATGACTCTTAACTTCCTACTTCTCAACCCGGAGAAGACAGAAGTGATCCTACTCGGTCCAAAGCGCCTGCGTGACTCCCTTACTAACCAGATAATCACTCTTGATAATGTCAGTATTATACCCAGTAACACTGTGAGGGATCTTGGGGTCATTTTTGACCAAGAACTCTCCTTCAAGGCTTATATAAGCCAAGCAACTAAAACGGCGTACTTCCACTTACGGAACATCGCTAAAATTAGGAATTTCCTTCCTAAAAGTGACGCGGAAAAACGTATTCACGCTTTTGTCACCTCAAGACTTGACTACTGTAACGCTTTATTGGCAGCATGCCCTAAAACCTCTTTGAAGAGCTTCCAGCTCGTTCAGAATACATCAGCAAGGATCTTAACGTACCAAAAGGAGGGAGCACATAACTCCGGTATTAAAATCACTCCACTGGCTCCCTGTGGAGTACAGAATAAAGTTTAAAATCCTTCTCTTAACATGTAAAGCCATAAATGGCTTGGCTCCTTCCTATCTCCAAGACACGTTAGTGTCATATCAACCAAGTCGAGCGTTGTGCTCACAAAACGCCAGACGTCTGGTGGTTCCTAAGGTCTCAAAAATCACTGTTGGCGGCAGAGCATTTAGCTCCAAGCTCCTTTATTGTGGAATCAGCTTCCCATTTATGTTAAGGAAGCAGATACGGTCTCCACATTCAAGGCCAGGCTTAAAGCACTCTACTTTAATTTAGCATATCATTAGGTAATATATAATATATGGTGTATATATTATATATATATGCTGTATTATGTTGTATATTATGTTATATATTATGTTGTATGTTATGTTGTGTATTATATATAATACATATAATATGTATGGTACATGTGATATATATGATACATAATATATAATTAGGTTTGCCTGGATCGGTTTGCACACCTGGTGTGCAATCCATGAATCTTGGTGCTGTAACCTGGGCTAGCCTAGCCGTGGCTGCTGCTGTCTCACCTCCTTTCAGATACGCTCTCTTTATTCAAGGCTAGGTTTAAAACAGTCCTCTTTAGTTTAGCACACATGTGTCAAAGTCAAGGCCCGCGGGCCAAATCCGGCCCGCGAATGAATTATTTATGGCCCCCGGGACAGTGCCTGCCATTGACCCCTTAAGCTCGCTAGCCCCCGCCGACGGGAGCAAACGAGGAAAAAAATACTTCTGCTGGCAATAGCATATGTATTTTGAACTTCATAAGCCACAAGCTATATATCATTTTAAAGTTTATTTTCTCAGCTATATTTATATGTAAGTGTAAACGATATCAGACTTTGCATTAAAAAGATATAACGCATAATATGGGCACAAAATAAATCACGTTTGTATACGTTTCTTACCTTTCGTCTTCTGCTGCTCCAACAAATTAGACTTTCCCCATCCTTGCTAAGTCTCTTTCTCTCCGTAACTGTTCATAGGGCTGGAAAGCGGAAGTGCGAGATTTTGCGAGATTTCCACCCGCGGATACAAACAAACCACACGTGCCACTTGTATGGTGCTGAGATCGCCGACTTCTTCCTCCAGGACTTTCCTGTGTTATTTTGGACACATTTCGTCTCTGGGACAGAAAAACTGAGTGAGCGGTCGGAATTAGCTGTGAACTGACCATGTTCTGAAGTTTATATGATGGGGAGATGAGAAAGGTGCAGGGCCGTGTTCAAACGTATTGTTTTTTAATCCACTATTATGCATCAGAAAGACAATATAGAAACACTATTCCCATGCAAATACATTGATGTCCCTTACAGCTATCTTTGCTGCGTTGGTTATGAGCCAATGTTTATGAATGATCAATTTTCTATCTGTACATCAGCTCAATCTCCACTTCACATTCATTGCAGCTTCACATTGGGCCTTTTTTCTTTTTGCTGTGCTGCCAAAAATAACATGATGTAGTTGGGTTACCTATTCATGTACTACAAATATTATGATTGTCCGTTTTCTGTTTATATTTGAACATTTGTTAAATGTTATTTAATATGTGCTAATATGTTCCTCCTTTATCTCTCAAATAAATAAATGTACCCTGTGTGACAACAATAAAGTTAATCTTATCTTAAAATACAAGCCACAATGAAAGGCTCGGCAGCGCACTACAGGTTAGCATTAGCTACAAGTTAGCTTGAATACATATTCAAGTTAACCATCTGTAAAATCAGACAAAATGTTTTATCACAACTGCATAGCTTTTTACACAGCTTCAGTTGGTCTTTGGGAAACCCAAAAAACGAGCATGCTTCATGTAAACTTTGATGATAACAGCCGAAAACAAAGCAGAGCATTTTGCACCATTCACTTAAACCGCCTCTTTGAACAGCTGACGGTTTGTTTGTATCCGAGCCATGAACCGGAAGTGCTTCTGGGACGAGACTTTCCAGCCCTATTGAAGAAGAATATCCACTTGTATTTCCCAAAGTATAATCCATTCTGCAGATTTAATCAAAAAACGCCCTGAAAAGAGGTCCAGACTGCTCTTTTACATTTCACCAAGTTTGAGATTTTTTTTTAAAACTATTTTCATGTTCTCAGATGTCTATTACATCTAATGTGTACAGTATGAGGATTGGCTTTAGAGCATATTTTATTGAGCCAGCAGGTGTCACCGGCACTGCCTCTGGATGTTGAGAAACATTGAACCAGTCCGGCCCTCGGCGCGTAGCAAACATTTTTTTTTGGCCCTCTGATGTATTTGACTTTGACATGCCTGGTTTAGCATATGGTTAGGAAGGTAAGACTCAGGGAAGGCTAAACTTCTCAAACTGTCAGTCAAGCTGCATAGGGAGACAGTTTGCTGGGAGAAGTATGGTAACTTGAGCACTATCCTCTCCTCCTTCCTACTTTATCTGTTTAGCATTATTAGGATTTTGACTGTAGTTTGTTCATTGCTATTTACTCCTCCAAGGTTTCTCACTTTTTCCCACTGGGTTTTTAAGAGTTTTTCCTTGTCGATGCAGGAGGGTCTTGTTGGACAGTTAGTGTCCAACAGAAAGGATTGGTGATGATCAGGACACTTTAGCATTCTACAACATGTATGGACATTTTCTTCTGTGTGTGCTTTATACTGTATTCTTCATGTGTTTTAACTGTTGATTCTCTGACCTGTGTTGGTGATTTCAATGGTTTTGTTAAGTCCTCTGAGATGACTTCTGTTGTGACCTAGGGCTATACAAGAATAAATTGTATTGTATTGTATTGTAAGATGCAGCACAGGTTGTCATGTGCTCAATAGACGTAAGTAATAAAAAACTAGCAATAAAATGAACTTTGAACTATAAATTAGCAGCAAAACCAAACATTTGACATCCCAAGAGCCCAACTGTGGTTACATGATATGGATTTTTCACATTCATTAAATGACATAAAAGAGCATTTTATACTAATACTTTATTGATCTATGTAAACAAACACATAAATACATAGATCTAAAAGTGACTAACAATAGTAGTCAAGTGCAGCAGCAGCAGGGCAGGACTGGCCACACAATGCCATATTTGGGCCTCATATTAAAAAAAGAATGCCATTTTGATAGACTGCAATGGAAAAAAAGACACAAAGTTGGTTGAAATTTTGTGAAGGACATTGGCCTAGTCCAATTAAATCTCTCAGCTCTGCTGGCCCGCCCCCACTGCTGACCAAAGTTAGATATTGCCATGTGGAGTCAGGAGTGAGTCAATGAATATGGACCCAAAGCCAAACATAGAAGCTGAGAAGCTCAGGGAAAAACGCAAAATTAAATTAAATGTGGACGCCGCTCTTCACCACATCAAGGTGATGTCTGTTTGGTTTTCTCTGCTCTGGTTCAGAGTGAAATTCTGAATGCTTTATTAGCATTTATCAAATGAAAGGATCATTCCTACAGCAGTGGATTTCCTCTTGATCCTCTTGGACCATGGTCTCTGGTCTGGTCTGGATCAGTAAAAAAGCATCAACACTGTTCTGCAGCAACATTTACAAAATAATAAAAATGATTTTAACAAAACAACTGTTTCAGAGATTTAGGACTCACTGCTGGAGCCGCAGGCCCTCCTTCTTCTCAGGAGTTCCCAGCAGGGCCTCCTCCTCCTCACCTCCTCCTCCTCAGGAGGTCCCAGCAGGCCCTCCTCACCTCCTCCTCCTCAGGAGGTCCCAGCAGGCCCTCCTCAGAGGACTGATGTGGAGTCCGTACAGGGCAGCGTTGCAGATGGGAGGTCCCACCACCAGGTAGACGCTGAGGAGGAGCTGGAAGCCGCGGTTGAGGGAGCGCAGCTGCAGCTTCTTCTGGCTCTCCTCCAGGAACAGCACCAGGCCGTAGTTCAGCAGCGAGCACAGGTGCGGCCCGCACGTGCTGAGCGCCTTGTGGCGCGTGGCCTTGTTGCCGTGGAAACACACCATGAGGATGCGGCCATAGGTGTAGAGCAGTGTCTCCCAAACTGGGGTCCGCGGCCCCCTGGTGGGCCGCGAGGGTACTGCAGGGGGGCCGCGGGAGGTCATAAAAAAAAAAATATATATATATATAATTATTTAATGTTAAATGTATAATGTTTTGTTTGTAATATTAAAATATTTGTGTTCATTATTTGACTTGAATAATCCACTGTAATCATTTTTTGTATTACAATGTTTGTAGCAGAGGCTATTTCCCCAAAATAAAATAACCAGAAGAGCCTATTCTTAATGTTGTCTTCTTGGTTATTATTTTGGGGGGCCACGCAGACCCGTTAGATTTTTAAGGGGGCCTCGGCGTTACTGAGTTTGGGAATGGCTGGTGTAGAGGATGAAGAGGATGGTGCCCAGCAGCACGGTGCACATGTAGAGCAGCTCGAACACCTGGATGTAGAACACGATGAACAGGTCTTCGGCGCAGACCAGCGTGCTCAGGTCGAAGTAGTTACAGAACGACACCAGGTGCACCAGCAGCGACACGTTGGTGCCCACTGCTAGCCCCACCCCCCACATCAGCAACAGTGCACGCAGCACTGTTCGCGGGGTGACGCGCTGCGCGTACGTGAGCGGGAAGCAGATGGCGCTGTAGCGGTCAAAAGCCAGCGCCGCCAGGTTGAAGATCTCCACGCTGCTGTAGCAGTACATTAAGAACATCTGCATACTGCACGCGCCCAGAGACAGCGTGTGTTTGGGGCTTAGCAGCGGCGCCCACAGGAAGGGGAGGGGCAAAGACACGCCCACCACGGCGTTCAGGAACAGAGAGCACAGGAACAGGAACATGGGCGCGTGCAGAGACGGGCGCCGCACGATCACCGCCATCAGCAGGAAGTTCACCGCCACCGTCAGTAGGTAAAGAGTCACAGCCAATAGGAAGTACAGGGGAGACAGATACCCCTCCCACACAGAGTCCAGGACCAGGAGCGACGAGGTCGAGTTAGGCATGAGGCCGAGACGGAGGCCGAGACGGAGGCCGAGATGAGGCTGAGACCAGGACCTCACCACACACTGTCCAGGTCCAGGACTAAGGCAGGGACTGAGAATAGAACTCAGATCAGGACTGAGACTGACACGAAGACCAAGACCTCACCACCAGAGAGAGACCAGAGAGGGTCCAGAGAGGGACCAGAGAGAGACCGGATTGGGACCACAGAGGGACCAGATTTAACCAGACAGAGACCAAAGAGAGAAAAGAGAGGGAACAGAGCGAGACCAGAGAGAGACCAGAGAGAAACCAAAGAAAAACCAGAGAGAGACGAGAGAGGGAGACCAGAGAGAAACCAGAGAGAGACCAGAGAGAGACCAGGGAGAGACCAGAGAGAGAACAGAGAGAGACCAGAGAGAGACTAGAGAGAGAGACCAGAGAGAGAGACCAGAAAGAGAGACCAGAGAGAGACCAGAGAGAGACCAGATCACAGATTAGAAACATTAACCGTGTTTGCAAAAACAGAAAACACTGAGAGCGAAGTCGTCTCTGATCCTGGATTTAAACTCTCTGACAATGACGTCATTCTGAACGCTGCGCTCTGATTGGATGATTATGTCATCCTTTACGCTGTCCTCTGATTGGTTCAGACAGTTAACGTCAAACTTAAGCCTTTCAATAATAATAGACCAGGAGTGTTCCAACTTTCAGGTAAGTCTGACCCGAGTCTGTGTATGAGGACTGACCGAGTGTGACATCACCAGAGTGTGACATCACCACAGTGAATGAATTTAGGTACCCTAGCTTTAATTTCATGAGGTTTAGTTTTCATAGAAGACATGGGGGAGACACGCACTTGCAACAAGCTGGGGATGGTCCGTGCGTCTATGGTCCTGTCCGTGCGTCTATGGTCCTGTCCGAGCGTCTATGGTCCTGTCCGGGCGTCTATGGTCCTGTCCGTGCGTCTATGGTCCTGTCCGGGCGTCTATGGTCCTGTCCGTGCGTCTATGGTCCTGTCCGTGCGTCTATGGTCCTGTCCGGGCGTTTATGGTCCTGCACAGCCATAATCTCTGAGTTGCAGAAATGAACCTTCTACAGCACGTAACTCCAGCAACAAACATTCACAAATACATATTAGGAATACAATAAATAATAAACGTATTATCATTATTATTGTCACGAATAAACAAGGAAGGGCCCAAAAGCAGAACTGCAAAAACAATATCATTTAATTATGCCACAAAAAGTAAAAACCGAAACCGGGAACAGCACATGCAAGAGGACATGAGCACAGAGTCTAAATACACATAGGTACACACGGGTACACACAGGTACACACGGGTACACACAGGTAGACACGGGTACACACAGGTACACACAGGTACACACGGGTAGACACGGGTACACACGGGTACACACAGGTACACACGGGTACACACAGGTACACACGGGTAGACATGGGTACACACAGGTAGACACAGGTCCACACAGGTACACACGGGTCCACACGGGTACACACAAGTAGACACGGGTACACAAAGGGAGACACAGGTAGACACAGGTACACACAGGTCCACACAGGTGTAGCACAGGTACACACAGGTACACACAGGTACACACAGGTAGACACAGGTGTAGCACATCAGGGCGGGGCAAACGGTCAACAAGACAGGAAGAACAACTCAAGACAAGAGAACAAAAATACTAGGGCTAACGATTACAATTTTTAATCGAGTTAATTACAGCTTAAAAATTAATTAATCGTAATTAATCGCATTTAAAACAACAAAATCGACAAAATGATGCCATATTTTTCTGTAAATTGTTGTTTGAATGGAAAGATACATGTCAACATAGTGTACATATGTATTGTATTTGTTATAACAATAAATCCATATAAAGTGGCATTTACATTATTAACATTCTGTCTTTCTGTTTAGACTCAGACCAAAACTATTATTTGTTACAGATGAGGGACATTTCAAAACAGTCTGAAATGCAGAATGTCATTCAATCTGTCTTGAACTGGTAGTGGAAAGGAAAATTAGGTACCCCAGCTTTAATTTAGTGAGTGCGCTTTGGGAAAAGACACGGAGAGACCGAGGCTCCGTTGTCCAGCTTCTTTACTGTTTTTTGTGTGTGAACCGGTTACGCAAAGACACGTACGCACACAACAATCAGAGAATAGTTCTGTGCGTGGTCTTGGATATGATCACGTCACGGCGCCGTTCGCCGTGATCACAGCCGCTGGAGGAATTGCTGTCCAGAGCGCCGCAGCTCAGCTCAGTGTTCATACAGGAAACGCGTGTATTCTTTTAAAACTTGAATTCCCAGAGAGCCTACCTGCTCTCTCACACACGTATCCGTGTCATTCTGAGTGTTATTATGGGATGCATTGTCACTTTTAAATTGACACTTTTTATTGTACATAATATATCCTGCATTTAACATGTTGCACATTTCCTCTCTTTTTGCACAATCTTGAGTGTTTCTATCCATGCCAAATGTGACATATACATTTCTCCTTTGTGAGATAAATAAAGCATATCTTATCTTTATCTTATCTTATCTTCTGGGCATTCGTTAATTGCGTTATTTTTTTTAACGCGCTTAATGAAAAAAATTAATTAACGTGAGTTAATGCGATAATTTTGACAGCCCTAAAAAATGCACATCAAAATAAAACCGGAAAATCAACAGGAAGTCCACACGGCCACAATTGTGTTATTATTGGCAGTGGAGATGAGCATTCAGCGGCCCCACCGGCCTAAGCGCCTTGTACTTCCCTAAAATGTGATGAAGATTTATTGTTTATTATTACTATTTATCTATATAAATTTGTGTAAGCCCTCAGTCGTACAGGGATTAGTCAAAGCAAAGGAAGGTTTCTCACCCATCATCTGTACTTCTTAGCAAGTTTTCCCGACGTTTCGTCCTCAACCTGGGGACTTCTTCAGGGAATGAATTCTCGGACCGCGCGTTGGAGATTTATAACCTATGGGTGTGGTAAGCCACACCCTAACCCTGATACTAACTCGTAAACAATCTCAGGTCTGCTTGATGTAGAAGGGAGCAGGTCTAACGACCCTGCTGAGGCTAACGACCCTAACTCCTTAGCATGTCACAGACCTATTGTCTGCTGGGATGCTCAAGTGGAGTGCAGGTTTCACCCCTCCTAACTCATTAGCATGTCACTGACCTTGTCCCAAGTTAGGGCGTTGTTTTTAGGATGTCGTCATAGATGCGAGGCAAAACAAATCTTAACCCTCCTCCTCTGTTAAGAGAAGGTTTCTGTTTCCTCACAAAAATAGCTTCTTTCACCCCTCTCTCAAACCAATTCTTCTCCCGAGCCAGAATTTTAACCTCTGTATCATCCACCGTGTGGTTGGAGGCCTTGAGGTGGAGATGAACAGCCGACTGTGGCCCACTAGAGTTTTCTCTACGATGTTGGTAAAGTCGTTTCTGTAGAGTTTGTTTGGTTTCTCCAATATAGTGGTCAGTGCACTCCTCTTCACTACATTTAATTGAATACACCACATTGCTCTGTTTGTGTCTGGGTGTTTTGTCTTTGGGATGCACTAATTTCTGTCTTAACGTGTTGAAAGGTTTGAAATACACAGGGATTTTGTGTTGCCTAAAGATTCTTTGTAGTTTCTCTGAAACTCCCGCCACATACGGTAAGGACACGCCTCTCCTCCTACTTTCTTCTGTCTGTTGGACTGTGTCTCTGGCCTTTCTCGTCCTTTGGGCTTTAGTAAAAGACCACTTGGGGTAGCCACATCTGGAAAGTGCTCTCTGAACATGTTTGGTTTCTCTGTTTTTTTCCCTCCGAGCTCGTGGGGACCTGGTGGGCTCTGTGTTGAAGCGTTCTAATGACCCCGAGTTTGTGTTGTAGCGGATGATTTGAATCAAAAGCCAAGTACTGGTCAGTGTGAGTGGACTTTCTGAAGACCTCAGTCTCTAATTGTCCGTTCTCCAGTATGATGACCTTACAATCTAGAAAGGCGAGTTCACTCTCCTTAGCATCCTCGCGAGTGAAATTTATAAAAGGGTCCACCGAGTTAATGTGTGCTGAAAATGGTTCCACTTCCTGTTTCTTTAACTTAACCCATGTATCGTCTACATATCGAAACCAATGGCTTGGCGACAAGGGACAGCGCCAAGCCATTGGTTTCGATATGTAGACGATACATGGGTTAAGTTAAAGAAACAGGAAGTGGAACCATTTTCAGCACACATTAACTCGGTGGACCCTTTTATAAATTTCACTCGCGAGGATGCTAAGGAGAGTGAACTCGCCTTTCTAGATTGTAAGGTCATCATACTGGAGAACGGACAATTAGAGACTGAGGTCTTCAGAAAGTCCACTCACACTGACCAGTACTTGGCTTTTGATTCAAATCATCCGCTACAACACAAACTCGGGGTCATTAGAACGCTTCAACACAGAGCCCACCAGGTCCCCACGAGCTCGGAGGGAAAAAACAGAGAAACCAAACATGTTCAGAGAGCACTTTCCAGATGTGGCTACCCCAAGTGGTCTTTTACTAAAGCCCAAAGGACGAGAAAGGCCAGAGACACAGTCCAACAGACAGAAGAAAGTAGAGGAGGAGAGGCGTGTCCTTACCGTATGTGGCGGGAGTTTCAGAGAAACTACAAAGAATCTTTAGGCAACACAAAATCCCTGTGTATTTCAAACCTTTCAACACGTTAAGACAGAAATTAGTGCATCCCAAAGACAAAACACCCAGACACAAACAGAGCAATGTGGTGTATTCAATTAAATGTAGTGAAGAGGAGTGCACTGACCACTATATTGGAGAAACCAAACAAACTCTACAGAAACGACTTTACCAACATCGTAGAGAAAACTCTAGTGGGCCACAGTCGGCTGTTCATCTCCACCTCAAGGCCTCCAACCACACGGTGGATGATACAGAGGTTAAAATTCTGGCTCGGGAGAAGAATTGGTTTGAGAGAGGGGTGAAAGAAGCTATTTTTGTGAGGAAACAGAAACCTTCTCTTAACAGAGGAGGAGGGTTAAGATTTGTTTTGCCTCGCATCTATGACGACATCCTAAAAACAACGCCCTAACTTGGGACAAGGTCAGTGACATGCTAATGAGTTAGGAGGGGTGAAACCTGCACTCCACTTGAGCATCCCAGCAGACAATAGGTCTGTGACATGCTAAGGAGTTAGGGTCGTTAGCCTCAGCAGGGTCGTTAGACCTGCTCCCTTCTACATCAAGCAGACCTGAGATTGTTTACGAGTTAGTATCAGGGTTAGGGTGTGGCTTACCACACCCATAGGTTATAAATCTCCAACGCGCGGTCCGAGAATTCATTCCCTGAAGAAGTCCCCAGGTTGAGGACGAAACGTCGGGAAAACTTGCTAAGAAGTACAGATGATGGGTGAGAAACCTTCCTTTGCTTATCTATATAAACAAAATATATTATTATTATAATCATTATTGTTATTATTATTCATTATTACTTATGTAACTGGGAGCACTTTGATTGTTTTTATTTTTTTTTCATTCTGTATTTTTTCCCCTCTAAAATGACTGGTAGACTGTATGTGGTGTGATGGACCCCTGATGTATGAGCTTGTGCTTCTGGGAGTTCCATTTTCACATTGTTGCACATGAGCTTTAGGGACTGTGTGAAATTGTGAATAAACAAAAACAAAACAAAAAAACATTATGAAGCTTGCGCAAGTTCACCCTGGTAGACCTGGCCTGCTGCCTAGCTCCTCCAGGCCTGCTCTCATCCTCGACTCATCGCACAGCAACACCCACTTCCAGTCAACCAATAACCGCCAGGCCAGCAAGTTAAAAGCCGGAGACGCCCAATTCCAGGTGTCTGAAAGCCTATGCGACACTCATCTTGACGTCTGTACTTGAACGCCTCACCACGGGAGCGGCGCGCGTTCACAGCACAGACTGTGTGGTGCCATATTGACGCTGCTACGGAGGAGAGGACTTCGTTTATTGTTTGTGCGTTTTGTGACTCAAGAAGTAAGTTGCTGTAGGCCTACTGTTCCTCACACGAGTTCGGGAAGGAAGGTTTACTTATATAGTTCGTCCATATTTGTTAAACAGTGGTTTTCCTGATCTGTGTTGTTTTCAGCTAAGTAATCTAAAGATGCTACTCTATGCTAATATGACCCGTCATGTATACTTTCCTGCACCCTTGTATTAATAGTGCCATTTCAGTCACCTCTGTTCGTGTTTTACACCACTTAGTTACATATTTATGTTAACCTCACATAGACCTTAAAGGGTACCTATGTTGTACTTTATGTTATCATTTTTCCTGATTTATTGTAGCTCCTATTAGTCCAAATACATTGACTATTTATCGTTTATTATGTTATTCATTATATAATTATTATTAATACTGTTTTTTCTTTGTCCCTTTCTGTTTCCATAGCCACATACACACACAATGTACAAATTGTGACAAATTGACAACCCTGCATTAAAGCTGAGTGAAGATTCTCTGACCGGAGTCTGTCTGTAGTGTCCCCAAACCAGAAAGAAACCACTCCATTATTTACATTGGTCCTTCGAGCCGGATTGGTTCCACTAGAGGCGCTATGGACTCAGCTGATCAAGATCCTCCATCCTCCAGACCCAAGAGAGACCTTCGTCTACCAGAGCATTTGGCCAAATATGATGTCGTCCTCCTTCCCTCTCAGCAGCCCGCTGCCCAAGTCTCCTCACTTCCAGTAGGACAACCCGGCAAGCGTAAGCCTTCCAGAACCGGGAGTGCGTCAGGATATCAGTCATCTACAAGTTCACGACGGTCTTCTCGTTTATCCCTGGGGAGTCAACTACTGAAGAATATGCCAGATGTTAAAGCAGCTGCGCTGGAAGAGCAGATCAGAGTTATGGAGCTTGCAGACCTGCAGCAGGAGATAGAAGAGGAGAGAGAAGCCGATTTGGAAGCCAAGAAGTTGGAGGAACAAGTTAAAGAAGGACAACGGATGCAAGAGGAAGCATACCTTGCCAAGGAAAGGATGGCCAAGGAGATGGGACGGCGCAGACGCCTGAAGAAGTTGGAGAAGGAAATTAAGATTGCCAGTGCTGTAAAGTGCTTTCTATCCGAATCAGAGGATGAAGCAAAAGGTAAAGTGACGATCCCACCCTTTTCTGATGGGATTCTGTCTCTGACATCCACTCCTAGACCGTCTCTTCCACCTTCCCATGTTGCTCAGCACAAGCTTCAAAGTTTACACCATACTGCCCATTCTGCAATAATAAAGAACACTATCTCAATTCTTGTCTTGAGTTTAAGAAACTGAATTTGAGCGAGATCAAGAAGTGGATCCAGGAGGGTGATAGATGTTTCAAGTGTGGTCGCAATCATAAGGCTGCAGCGTGTACCCTCAAACGCCCTTGTAAGACATGTAAAGAGACCCACCTTACAGTTCTGCATGACGTCATCCAAGAGTTATCCCAGAGAGTCCTTACGGTGAGTCATCGGGAACCCACGGTCTACATTGAACAGCCCAGAAGCCCTCAGAGAGTCCTGTTGAAGATCGTTAAAGTGCTCTTATAACATGGAAACCGCACTTTGGAGACGTTTGCAGTACTCGACGATGGCTCTGAAAGGTCGATTCTACTCCCACATGCTGTAGAGCAGCTTCAACTCATTAAGCATCCTGAAACTCTGCACCTGAGGACTGTCCAACAAGAAGTGAAGGAGCTACATGGTTCTTCTGTCAGTTTCCACGTCTCACCCATCTTCAAGCCAAACAAGAGGTATCGCATTGACAACGCTTTTACATCCAACAGTCTGAGCTTATCCGAGCACACTTACCCTGTAGCAGATCTCCAGAAGCGCTTTGAGCATCTCAGAAGGCTTCCGTTGTCGGCGATCCACAGAGCGCAACCACTGCTACTCATTGGTTCAGATATGCCACATCTCCTTACCCCAACTCAGCCCGTGCGCACTGGTCCCTCTGGTGGTCCAATAGCCATCTGCACCAGACTAGGCTGGTCACTTCAAGGTCCGTCAGAGATTGCGGCAGTCTCATCCCATCATTCTTGTTTGCACATTGCCACAGAGTCCCCCTACTCTGTACTTATGAAGAATGTGGAGCGCCTTTGGCAGATCGATACACTCCCTTATATCAGCGAGAAGATGGCGTCTCGTTCCAAACAAGACCAACAAGCAGTTACTCTTCTGCAGACTACCTCTGAACGTGTATCTATCGACGGCATCCAACGCTATGCTACTCCACTCTTACGCCGTCAATCCAGCACTACCCTTCTGGCACCCCCAGACGCTGCGATGCCCAGCCTACGCAGAATTGAACGCCGATTGGCCAAAGATCCTGCACGAGCAGCCTCCTACCGCAAAGAGATGGATAAACTTGTACAGGCTGGCTATGTCGCTGAGACCCCCTCCGACATAGTATCGAAGTCCACAGAGTCGTGGTACGTACCGCATCATATGGTGCACCACAACGGAAAGGACAGGGTCGTCTTTAACTGCTCCTTCTCTTACCAAGGCCAGTCCCTCAACGACAATCTTCTTCCTGGGCCTACGCTGGGTCCTACCATGATTGGGGTCCTGCTCCAATTCCGTCGCCATGCTGTTGCCATAAGTGGGGATATCAAGGGGATGTTCCACCAGATTTGCTTACTGCCCTGCGACAAACCACTTCTCAGATTCCTCTGGCGGGATATGGAAGTTACGTCTGAACCACGGATCTTCGAGTGGCAAGTGTTGCCTTTCGGGACAACCTGCAGCCCCTGTTGCGCCGTCTACGCCCTGCAGCAGCATGTCAGAGACCATGAGCCACCAGACTCGCTCCTTATGCAAGTGATTGAGCATTCATTTTACGTTGACAACTGCCTTCATAGTATGAGTCAGGTTGAAGAGGCCAAGGCCCTGATTGACCATCTCCGAGCACTTCTGATTAAAGGTGGTTTTGAGATCCGTCAGTGGGCAACGTGCCCGAAGTTGTGGCACACCTACCTCCCGAAGCCCAGTCAGCTAGCAGTGAGCTGTGGCTATCCAAAGCCAGCGATAACCTCGACGAACCTGCTCTCGGGCTCACCTGGGATTGTTTGGACGATACATTGAGCTACAAGCATCAGGCCGCTGACACCACACCGGCCACACTCAGACATGTCTACAGTGTTCTTGCCAAGCTCTACGACCCACTCGGTTACATCGTACCATTCACTACCAGATGTAAGGTGCTTATCCAGGACATGTGGAAGTCCAACATTGGCAGGGATGACCAGATACAGCCCACAGACCTCCTGGACAAGTGGTTGAGCTGGGTAAAAGAGATCCCCGCTTTACGGCACCTCAAGTTACCACGCTGTTATGCTCCAGGTTCTGTCGATTCGGCCACTGCTACTGTGCATGTTCACATCTTCTGCGACGCATCTGAGCGTGCATATGGGTCGGTTGCTTACATGCAGACAGTGGATCCCAATCAGCACAATCACCTGTCGTTTGTGTTCGCCAGATCACGAGTCGCACCCAAGAAGCAGCTGTCCATCCCACGTCTTGAACTAAGTGCTGCCCTTACCGGTGCTCAGCTTGCCAGAGTGATTGAGACAGAGCTTGCCATCCCACCTGAGCATATCACTCATTGGATGCATTGCATTGGATTAAGTCAGAGTCCTGCCGTTATAAGGTGTTTGTGGGGACCCGTGTCACAGAGATCCAGAACCTGACGGACCCCTCGCAGTGGCGCTACGTTAACACGGAGAGCAATCCTGCGGATGACATTACCCGTGGACTCAGTCTGCAGGATATGATACAAGAACATCGCTGGAACAAGGGTCCACACTTTCTGTACCTGCCAGAAGCTGAGTGGCCCACCATGCCGTCCTCATCTGAAGTGGAATATGATGCAGCGGAGTTGAAGAAATCTGCTTTTATCGGCGTAGTGTCCACTACTCAATCTTCGCAGCTTCCTGACCCTACCCAGTGCTCCACCTGGAAGCAGCTTCTTCGTGAGGCAGCTACCTCTCTTCACGGGGCGGCTGATGCAAGCTCCCCTTCAGCATGCTCAGCAGATAACTTTCTACAAGCGGAGAAGTTGCTGTTGCAGAAGGCTCAAGAAGACTGTTTTCCCGAAGAAATAAAGGCCCTAAAAGCTGGTCGTTCCCTCCCATTGGACAGCCGTCTTGCCTCTCTTTCACCAGAATATGAGGAAGCCACAGGACTATTGAGAGTCGGTGGAAGGTTGCGGCACGCCACAGGGCTGGATCTGGATACCATCCATCCTATCATCTTGGACCCGAAACACTCTGTGACCCAGCTCGTCATCAAGGACACAGACAATTCGTTGCTACATCCAGGTCCGGAACGAGTTCTTGCTGAACTTCGTCGCCGCTTCTGGATTGTACGAGGAAGAGAGGCCATAAGGAAGCACCAACATTCGTGTGTTGAATGTCAACAATGGAAAGCCAAGCCCGATGTTCCCAAGATGGCTGACTATCCACCCCCTCGACTTCGTCTCCACAAGCCTCCCTTTTACTCAACAGGAGTCGATTGTTTCTGGCCGTTTCGAGTCAAAATTGGCCGCCGCACCGAAAAGAGATGGGGAATAGTCTATAAGTGCCTGACGACGCGCTCGGTACATTTGGATCTACTGGAGAGTCTTGACACAGATGCTTTCTTGCTGTCATTGAGAAGATTTATTGCACGACGTGGCAAGCCGTTCGAACTCCTTATGGACAACGGTACCAATTTCGTTGGTGGAGAGCGCGAACTGCGAGAAGCGGTTGCTTCAATGGCTTCACAATTGAAGACACAACTTTCAGAACATCAGATATTCTTCAGGTTCAATCCTCCAAGCGCTCCGCACTTTGGTGGCACTTGGGAGAGGGAGGTGAAGTCTGTCAAGATGGCCCTCAGAGTCGTGCTCAAAGACCAGACTGTTCCTGAACCTGTTCTTATGACGACGCTGGTGGAAGTTGAAGGCATAATGAACTCTAAACCCTTAGGTTACCTATCTTCGAACGCTTCAGATCCAGACCCAGTCACCCCTAACCTGCTCCTTATGGGTCGCCACGACGCATCTCTACCGCAAGCAGTTTATGACCCCGGTGATCTGGGAAGAAGGCGCTGGAGACACAGCCAAGCTCTTGCTGACCACTTCTGGTTATCTTTCACCCGACATTACCTACCAGGTCTCCAAGAGCGTAGCAAGTGGCGAAAGGATGGGAAAGCCCTTTCAGTCGGTCAAGTCGTACTAATAGTGGATCCTCAACTTCCTCGAGCATCGTGGCCAGTCGGACGGATTACTCAGATACACCCAGGAGCAGATGGACGTGTCCGAACAGCTAGCGTTCAAGTCAAAAGCCGCACCTTCCTTCGTCCGGTAGCCCGACTCATCCTGCTCCCACCTCTTGGAGATACAGACGATGAGGACATCTAGACATAGGCTTTCTTCTTGTTTTTTCAACTGCCACGTGGACAGTTGAGGGCGGCTGTGTCTGAAAGCCTATGCGACACTCATCTTGACGTCTGTACTTGAACGCCTCACCACGGGAGCGGCGCGCGTTCACAGCACAGACTGTGTGGTGCCATATTGACGCTGCTACGGAGGAGAGGACTTTGTTTATTGTTTGTGCGTTTTGTGACTCAAGAAGTAAGTTGCTGTAGGCCTACTGTTCCTCACACGAGTTCGGGAAGGAAGGTTTACTTATATAGTTCGTCCATATTTGTTAAACAGTGGTTTTCCTGATCTGTGTTCTTTTCAGCTAAGTAATCTAAAGATGCTACTCTATGCTAATATGACCCGTCATGTATACTTTCCTGCACCCTTGTATTAATAGTGCCATCTCAGTCACCTCTGTTCGTGTTTTACACCACTTAGTTACATATTTATGATAACCTCACATAGACCTTAAAGGGTACCTATGTTGTACTTTATGTTATCATTTTTCCTGATTTATTGTAGCTCCTATTAGTCCAAATACATTGACTATTTATCGTTTATTATGTTATTCATTATATAATTATTATAATACTGTTTTTTCTTTGTCCCTTTCTGTTTCCATACACCACATACACACACAATGTACAAATTGTGACAAATTGACAACCCTGCATTAAAGCTGAGTGAAGATTCTCTGACCGGAGTCTGTCTGTAGTGTCCCCAAACCAGAAAGAAACCACTCCATTCTTTACACCCGGCCTTCTCAAGCTTTGCATGCGGTGTTTTGGAGGGGTCGCTTTTCTGCATATTAAATGGAATAGGTCACTAGTTTAAATGATTAGGTAACTAAACTACGTCATGTTGCATTTGACGGCGCAGCAGAAAGTAAAAAATCTGCAATGAGTGTGAAGTGGAATTGGAGCTAACAAACAGATAGAAAAGTGATTGTTCATGTATATTGGCTATAACCAAAGCAGCAAAGATGGCTGTATGGGACGACATCCGTTTATTCGCATGGGAATATTGGTTCTGTATTTTCATTCTGATGTATTGTGGGAAATCAGACTCAGACATGCATCCAGCTTGGTTGTTTATTCGCAAAAATGGTAGTTGATTCAGACAGAGCAAAAGTCAAGACATGGTTTTATTGTCAATGGTCGAGACAGCACGGACAAAGATACAACAGAATGCAGTGTATTATACAGAGCGGAGGCATGGAGACCTTCAATCAGCAGCTGCCACAGTGTGCTTGTAGCTTGGCCTTCAGATGGACAAAACATCAAGTGGAAAGGTACAGGCTTCTGCATATGTAAGAATGTAGTTAGAACTTTAACCATAGTTGCTAAAAATCACTACAGTATAAGGGTGGATTAGAAAAGCGATGAGTCAACCACGGCCCTGCACCTTTCTCGTCTCCCCGGCGTGTGGAAACTTGGGGCTTTGCCGGAGTTGCGCAGCTAATTCCGAACGCGGGCTCAGTTTTTGTTCCAGAGACGAAATGTGTCCGAAGCGGCGCTGAAAGAAATCCATGGAGGGGGACGACGTCGGCGATCTCCGCAGCATGCAACCGGCACGTGTGTTTTGTTTGTGTCCACGGGCGGGACTCTCGCAGAATCTCGCCCTTCCGCTTCCAGTCCTGTAGGTCTGCATGCGGTCCATTTTAGCCCCGTGCGCGGGTCTGCAGGCCTTCTGTTTTTGCCCTGTGCAGGTCTGCAGGCTCTCTGCATTAACCCTGTGCTTTGGTCTGCAGCAGGGTTTCTCAAACTGGGGTACGCGTACCCCTAGTGGTACGCGGGCGCCCTCTAGGGGTACGCCAAAGAATCTGTGAAAAAAAAAAAAAAATCTGTGAAAAAAAAAAAAAAAAAATTATTTTTTTTATTTTTTTTATTTTACCAGGAAAGTCCCATTGAGATTAACTCATTGACAGCCATGGATGTCATTTGAGGACAACATTGTTTTTCAATCTTTTCCTGTCAGTCTGTGTCCCCTGTATCATACAGTCTGGGGTTTGGCTGTAGACAGTATTTTATTAAGCCAGCAGGTGGCAGCAGAACTCCCTGGTTTGGTCAAAGATCACTATGAGCACTCTGAGCAGGAGAGACAGAGGTGAAGCAGACATGGAGTAATATAGTCAGGGTCAGGCTACATTTGGAGGCAGTTTGAGCAGTAAATGTGTCTCCAGAGCTGACAGAGACCATGTGGAGGGTCCTAGCAGCAGACCATGTGGAGGGTCAGGACAGCAGACCAGTGGAGCACCTCAAAAAAGCCACAGAAAAGTGGACTATTGCTAAAATGATCACTGAGTCCACACCAGGAGCCAGCAGCAAAGTCCAGATATGGTCACAGCGCACGCCGGACTAAACAGACGCTCTGTAGCTGTAACCACACAAAAACACACAAACGCGTGCATAAACGCACATACATGCACGCCCAAACACACAAAGACACACAGCAGTATTCTGTTGCACTTATACTATAAGTATAAGTATTCACTTTGATTTATTGTCATGTATAGTGTTTATCATTGTAATTTTGTTATTCTTTGATTTACTCTTATTGACATAAATATAGTGCCACCTAATGGATGAATACTGGCCATTCTATCTGGCATAGTTTGTCATGGGCTCTACTTTCAATATGTACATTTTGACATTTTTTGGATGAGTACATTTTGAAATTTTTGAGCAACACTTTGTGGATGTGTGTGTGCCATAAAACTTATTATTTTACATTAAAAACACTTTCTCAAAACGTGTTGCTGTTTTCTAACATGTAAGATCCTGGACATGTTTGAGGAGATGCTACAGTTAAACTAAATAGTTTTACAATCACTTTTCTGCAGTTCGTCTGTTTTCACAAAAACCTAATTTTCTAATTTTTTTGTCTAAGACTGGTGCTTTTTGTCACACTCTCCTCTTTTCGACTGGAGATCACAGGAGAACGAAACAAACTAAGAACAAACTTCTTTTTGCTGCTGAAAGTAGACAGTCCTGTCTTTCAGACTCTGGTTTCATATTTTTCATAGCACACAATATTCTGTGAGTCTTAAAAATCAGTGAAGTCATCAAAAAATGGCTGGCAGTCAATGAGAACCTCTTTTTTGTGTACAAAAATTACATAAAATTATAAAACAGTCACATACAGATGATAAAATAGTCACATACAGATTATACAACAGTAACACACAATTTCATAAAAATACGGATTATAAAAACAGTTACATTTCACTGAAGATGTCTCAATCTGGATCTAAAAGCATTCAAGGAAATAAGATCAGATCATTTCTAGTCTTTTTGCAACACGTTCCATGTAGAAGGAGCAGGTTTTTTTTCCCAGTTCTGTGCAAAAGGAACAGAGAGTAACAAACGATCATTTGATCCAAACCATGAGAACATGTTTCTGTGAGTAAACGACAGATGTAAGAGGGCAGCAGAGCAAGCCTTAGAAACTAAAGTGCACCAGTGTCCAAACCTTCTGTGGACAAAGATCCCACTCCAGAATATCACTCACAGTGAGGCTTTGCAGTTCGCAATGAATGAAACATTTAAAACAATTTTTTTCCCTATATTTAAGCGCAGTCTTACTGTTGAAACTGTGTAAAATATTACATTAAATATACTTCTTTAGGAATGAAACCTCTGCCTTGTTATTGATGAATACTTCGGCTTACTACGCTACTGTGTGGTGTGGTCATTTGTGGTGGTACTTGGAGAGGCAAGTATTTTCTGAGGGGGTACTTGGTGTGAAAAGTTTGAGAACCACTGGTCTGCAGGCTCCGTTCTAGCCCCGCGGACTGGTCTGCAGGCTCCGTCTGGCCCCGCGCACTGGTCTGCAGTCTCCGTCTGGCCCTGCGGACTGGTCTGCAGGCTCCGTCTGGCCCCTTGGACTGGTCTGCAGGCTCCGTCTCGCCCCGTGCACTGGTCTGCAGTCTCCGTCTGGGCCCCGCGCACTGGTCTGCAGGCTCCGTCTGGGCCCCGCACACTGGTCTGCAGGCTCCGTCTGGGCCCCGCGCACTGGTCTGCAGGCTCCGTTTGGCCCCGCGCACTGGTCTGCAGGCTCTGTCTGTCTGCTGGTGCCTGTGCTGGTGCCTGTGCTGGTGCCTCTGCTGGTGCCTGTGCTGGTGCCTGTGCTGGTGCCTGTGCTGGTGCCTGTGCTGGTGCCTCTGCTGGTGGCTCGCGTCCGCTTCGTGGGCACCTGCCGTACGGCCGTTGGCGGCTGCTTCCCGGCGTTCTCCGCAGACTGCTTCTCGGGATCCCGGCGCTGCTCTCGCCGCCAGGGTGGCTCGCGCTTCGCCTTGCTGGACTTTCTCGGACCCCGTCCAGGCCGGGCCCCCCTCGTGCACCGCTGTTTTGGGGGTCTGGAGATCTCATACTATCAGTCAATCCCTCCTTATCATTCAGTGTCATTCATAAATCTTTTCTGTTCCAGTCTCCCGGGGCAGGATCCAGTTCAAACCTCAGCGCACAAACTGCAAGCAGTAACCAGGCTTCCTTCCCTCATTGCTGCTCCATTCTCCTCCCTGGTCATCGGTATCAGCCGTGCCGTCACTGCACCATGGCTATCTATCAGCTCTCTCCCGACAACCTCCCCATGACGGCTAACTGGTCCAGAGCCCAACTTAAATCCATACTAAATAGATGCAGAGCTGTGCTGAGCTGTCTCGCACCATGCTCTCAGGTTTGCTCCGGCTGTCATGCTTCATCTCTCTGCTTAATTCTCTGCTTCTATCAGGTGCAGCTGGCAGAGTAGCCGTGCTGAGCTGTCCTCGCTCCGAGCCGTCAAACTCCTCATCAAGGCATCCATAACTGTACTCCTCACTCATGTGATCGCAGGCTCCCCATCACGCTGCCCATCCTGCAGCTCTGCGCGGCACTGAACTCTGGCTCATTTTCCAAGCACACATCTGCCCTCCTTCGCAGCGTCTTCCTGCTCGCCTTCTACGACCTTCTCCGCATAAGCGAGTTCCCTACTGCTCACTCAACTTCAATGTGGCCCGAGACACGGCTTTTCCCGACCTGTCCTACTATCCTGATTATTTAATCTCCACCTCAAGAATTCTGAGCGTAAGGGCGCTTGCAACATAATAATAGCCCGCTCCGATACGTCTCTCTGCCCCTACAAGTCCGTGATGCGTTTCTCTCACCTCCGCTGTCAAAAAGGAGATCTTAACGGACCTTTATTTCTCACTCCAGACAACCTTCCCATGACAGCAACCTGGTTCAGAGCTCAGCTAAAATCCCTACTGCTCCTCTGTAATTTGTCTCCCCAGCTCTACACAGCCCACTCGTTCAGGACAGGCGCTGCCACGTGCACGGCCTCGCTGGGGCTCCCCCATTCCTCTTGCAACAGCTGGGGCGCTGGTCCTCGTCGGCTCTCTCCGCTACATCAAGCCAGATTCAACTATCATTGCAGCACAGCGACTACTGGCATCCTCATAAGCTCCCAGCAAGCAAGGCAGGCAAGCATAAGACTCCTGGTGGCGGCACGCACTCCCCTCAACGCTCTCCCCCTGCTCCTAGTTTGCAGCGTCCGGTTGAACATGATGCACCGTGCTGGACTCGCACTTTACTCCCCGGAGTGGGTGCTGAGCAGCCCCGCGCTCATGTTCTCAGCTCGCTAGGGATAACACCTGCTTGCAGCGCCTGGAGAACATGACGCACCCCTGCTGCCCCGCGCTCATGTTCTCAGCTCGCTCAGGCCCCGCATCTTTCTGCTCCAAATAGATGCGGGCTCCCATCAGACGCAGCCTGGCTGAGCGACCATGCGAGAAGCCTCACACTCATGCTCTCAGGCCTGCGCAGTGCGTCCTGCTATCCCATCGCAGTCCCGCATCTTTGGGGGATTATGAGCGTGAGCAAGCGCCGCGCTCAACATCATTGCTCCGGGGCCTACGGTGCCAAACATGCTTAATCAAATAAACTTCTAATTGCATTCCCCGTTGTGGGTCTCTCCAGGATGAAATGACCACGTTACGGCTGTGCGTTCGCTGAGCTCACAGGAACCGCTGTCAGTACAAAGCAGCTGCAGCTGCCCCGGGGTCAGAACAGAGGATGTGCAATCCCGTTCGGGTTCTGCAAACAAGTGCCCGCCTTCACACGCTTAATAGATATTACATTTTCGGCGGAAAAAAATTGGTCCAAAACAGACAAGCAGACGTGTCCTAGAGGCACGTGGCTCTAGTGGTATAAATGTGTAATTTATTTTCCCAAAATCAACAAAGAGAACTATTGGAACAAATGTGGGGCTAAACCCATAGTTGACAAAGCTAAGACTGACAGTGGGAGTGAAATTTAGACATAACTAAATGTTTTGTAGACTTCAAATTGCTTTTTAACTCTGTTTGAAGCAGCGAAGCCGCTGACAAATGCAACACCTCCGCCAGGGACGCACTATCTCATTGGAGATAGCGCCGTACGGGATGAACATGAACTCTGTACAGAAATACTCCGTTCACTCTGCAAAAGTTTCTGAGATAAGGACTCTTGTCCCAAAACTGTTATCAGAAAAACGTGGAGTGAGTACATTGTTGATCCATACACATTTTTATGAGTGGACCCCTTCCAAATACAGATGGAAAAATCGAGAAGTTTAGTCTTCTGTACCAGCTAAATACATTTCTACTCAACGAGTGCTCACGCAGAGGACTTGGCTTCATTGGAAAGTTTAATCTGTTCTGGAATAGGCACAACCTTTTTGAAGGAAAAGGCCCACATTTGAACAAATACGGAGTAAAAGTGTTGATGGATAACTTTGCTTCTGCATCAAAAGGGAGAAAGAGGGAAAGGGCTGCTCCTGCACAGACATCATCATCAGCCCCATCAGTAGCAGATACAGCAGCATCATCTTCAGCAGCTGATACACCTTTCCCAACGACAGCTGTGAAGGCCTGTACTGGGGTTCCTAAACCATCTCCGTCTCTACCAAAGGCTCACTTATCACCTCCCATGGACCAGTCTTAGATCCCCTCTGCCACATCCACTCCATCTTGAGGAAAATAAGGACGACCCTTCCCCCCTCTTCCAACACCCAAAACTATCCATCAACCAAAAAACACCTCTCCATCCTCCTCCCCCGCTTTCCCCTTCCCCTCTTATCTCTAATCACTAAGATGCACAGGGTCTCTGCTTCGCAGCCACTGGCAGTCTAGTTAGAGGAGAGACCCAGCTGGGGCCCTGTCATGAAGCCACCTGTGACATTCCCTTAGTGATAACACAAAGAATACATAACAAAAAGACATCTGGAATTAATCAGTCTAATCTGTCTCACTCAGCACGTGAGTGGCCCCACCCACAGCAGAGGGCACGCTCTAGACCTGTTGGTTACTAAGGGGGTGAATATTTCAAATGTAAACGTGGTCGATGTTGCTCTTTCGGATAATTTCTTTGTATTTTTTTACATGTGTTTCACTAACAAGCCACCAGTGGACTCTGCAACTGTTCGAAGAAGACACATAAATGAAAATACGGGTGAACTATTTATGGGAATGATAAACTTTGGGAATGCATCGCGTAGATGAACTGTTTAACTCTGTCACCTCTAGTGTTTTGAATGTTCTGGACACCATCGCTCCTGTGAAGGTTAAAATAGTGAAAAATAAGCGCCGTGGGCTAAAGCAGACTCGGTCAGGGCACAGAAGAGAAAGGGCACTTCTTGTGCGAGTTTAACCGGGTGCTACGTAGTACGAGAGAAAGGTATTTTTCTGAAATGATTGAAGGCTGCAGTAACAACCTGCGTGTTCTGTTTTCAACAGTTAATAAATTAACAAACCCCCCATTAGAGCTCATTAGAGCTAACTTCCAAACGTAAATGTAATGAGTTTGCACATTTTTTCAGTGACAAGGTTGAATTAATCAAAAACGCCATTGTCTCCAATCCACAGATGACAATCCAACAGCCAGAAAGGCTCTTCACTTTGCACCTGTAGATGATAAAACTGTCACAGAGATAATCACAAGTCTGAGCTCCACCACATGCAGCCTGGATGTACTACCCACTAGATTTCTGAAGTCTGTTCTGAGCAGTCTGTTACCTTCACTCACACAGATAGTAAACATGCATATTAAATATGCGCAGCAACGAAACCGCGTCTTTACGCACGCTTTTACTGTGAGAACAACAAACTGAAACAAACCCTGCGCAAACGCATGCTGCTCGTCATATTCATAAGGGTATTGCGGACAGACAACTGCTCGTATCTATTCAAGGACAGAACCATACACTCGCGGACAGAACCATAGACACTCGGACAGAACCATAGACACACGGACAGAACCATAGACACACGGACAGAACCATAGATGTGTGGACAGATCCATACACGTGCGAACAGAACCATAGACGCGCGGACAGAACCATACACTTTCGGACAGAACCATACACGTGCAGACAGAACCATACACGTGCAGACAGAACCATACACACGCGGACAGAACCATAGACGCGTGGACTGAACCATAGACGCGCGGACAGAACCTTAGACGCCCGGACAGAACCATACACGTGCAGACAGAACCATAGACGTGTGGACAGAACCATTGACACGCGTTCTGGACCATCCCCAGCTTGTTGCAAGTGTAGGTCTCCCCCGTGTCTCCTATGCGCAACCAAAACTCACTAAATTAAAGCTCGGGTACCTAAATTTCCCCTTGCGTTAAAAATGCATGTTGGTATTGCACAAAAGTAAAATCAAACAGAACACACCACGACAGGAGTCTTGTTTTTATTTTGCATACTTAAGTGAGTCATTATTAGACTTTTTGGGCTGAGAGTGGATTTTTTCCACAGAATTAGTGCCACTTTATTGCCAAACTCTTGTATTGAGAATTATATTTGGGCAAGTAACTTTTGACATTGGGCAAGTAAAATATAAATGGTATTTATAAGTGGCTGAGAAAGCTTAATGTCAAGCTTGGCTGAAAAGCTCTTTCATCCTGTCTTCTTACTCCGTGATGTTATTGAGGCGTTCAAGTAGTTTTTGGACAACGAATAGTTTGTGTGAAACTCTCATTTGCATTGTGTTTTAAAATGGATATTTATGCTGTGGTCACATGCGCATGCCTAAAGCCTGGTTAATGTGGGCCTGAGCCTACTTTGGTAAATAGAACAAGCTCTTGTGATCGCGGGCCGCGCTTCACACCCTTGTGGCGACAATCCGGGCCACTTGGCCTAGTTTGTTTGTAAAACCTACTGTATATGTGACCGTGCCTTTAACTACAAAACTTGGGTCACCATTGTTCCCTTTTGTTCTTGGCATGCCTTGCTATGAATAAAGCCCTTCCTCTGCACTGATAAGAGCCAAAGCCTCCCTGTATTCCGGGGGGAGGCGGCCCAAGAAGTAACAAAAAACACAAAACTCCATTTTGAACCTCTCTCTCAAAGAAGAATGCGTGGGGAGAACATAATCTCCATGATCTCTCAGTCCTCCAGAGGAAATAGAGGACCAAAAGGCCTGACCGTCAATACTCATGAGTCCGTTCAAACCAGTGGCACAAGAGGGCCTTTCAACTGCTATAGGCCTGAGAACGGGACGACCATCAGACCAGGTACTGGACATCCCCACACTGGACATGAGCCTGGACATCCACAAGTGGGTGGAGTGGTCTTCCCTCAAGTGGAGGAGTTCAAATATCTTGCGGTCTCGTTCACGAGTGAGGGAATGATGGAGCGTGAGATTGACAGGTGGATCGGTGCAGCGTGCGCAGTGATGCGGTTGCTGTATCAGACCGTTGTGGTAAAGAGGGAGCAGAGCTGAGCCGAAAGGCAAAGCTCTCGATCTTCATTCCCTTCCTCCCCTATGTTCATGAGCTTTGGGTAATGACCGAAAGGTTTATGCCAGCATGCATCGGGAACAGGTCTGACTTACTGCCGGCGATGCAAATGCAGCTCTGGTTCCGGTCATACAGGGACCGGATGGCCCTCAGCAGAGGACCTTGGACCACGTACTCGCGGAGAACCCCAAAGGACACCCCGGGGAACACGGTCGAACGCCTTCTCCAAATCCACAAAGCAGGTTGGGAGAACTCCCATGAACCCTTGAGTAGCCGATGGAGAGTATAGAGCTGGTTCAGTGTTCCGCGACCGGGACGAAAACCACACTGCTCCTCCTGAATCCGAGATTTGACCATCGGTCGTAGTCTCCTCTCCAGTACCTTGGAGTAGACCTTACCGGGGAGGCTGAGGAGTGTGATCCCACGATAATTGGAACGCACCCTCCGATCCCCCTTTTTGTAGAGAGTGACTAATACACCGGTCTGCCAATCCATTAGCACTTCCCCCAATCACCACGCGGTGTTGCAGAGACGTGTCAGAGATAGTCCGAAAACATCTTTAGTCAGGACGGATCTCATCCACTCCTGGAGCCTTGCCAGCAAGGAGGCTGCCAACCACCTTGGTGACCTCAGCCAAGGAGATGAAAGTATTTGCCCCAACATCCTCAGCCTCTAACGGGGAACATGACGGGGGGATTGAGGAGAACCTCGTATTCCTTCCACTGCCCGACAATATCCCCAGTCGAGGTCAGCAGCTCCCCACCCGCACCATACACGGTGTGGGTAAAGCACTGCTTCCCCCTCCTGAGGCGAAGGACGGTTTGCCAGAATTTCTTCGAGGCTGACCGATACT